GTGGATCCATCTCAGGTCGGTTCTCTTCGTTGCCAATCCTTCGTCTCCATCTTCAGTAACTTCTTCCGATCGGTGAGTGTCTCTCAAGTCCTAACTAATGCTCTTAGATTTGGAATATGCTGATTGGATCTTACGATTCCCATCTTCTCTACTCATCCAATAATAGAGCTGAGAGTAATTACGATCATAAAGTTTCTAAATTTGTTGGTATAGATTGATTTTTTAGCAATTTTGAGCTTGTGGGATCTTGTAATTTTGAATCTTGACTTTGTTTTTTTTTTAATCTGTGTAGAAGCCGACGGAAATCGCCGTGGTCTCGTCGGAAAAGAAAATGGGCGTTAAAGCCGCATCAATGGAGGAGCTTATTTACACCGGAGGGTAAACTTCGTGATGGTGGAGTTGGATTTCTCAAGAAAGTTAGAAGCAGAGTGAGTCTTTTTGTACAAGCGACCATTTATGTCCTGAATTCTTGCTTTTGTCTTTATGGTTGTGATAATGCGCTTTTATCTGTGTTCTGTAGGGAGTTGATCCAAGTATTCGTGCAGAGGTGTGGCTGTTCTTGCTCGGAGTGTGAGTGTTTGTTCTTGTTCGTTTTTTGTGTTCTTGTTTCACTCTGCTTCTAACTTTCTCAACTTGTTTCTTATACATGGCAGATATGATTTGAGCAGTACCAGTGAAGAAAGGGAAGCTGTGAAAACTCAAAAAAGGTTAGAAAAGATTGATCTACTTTGGTATATTTATATAATCAACGCTTGTATGTAGTAGATGCTGACATAACTTTTCTTTGTTGAATGCAGGAAGGAGTATGAGAAACTACAGAGACGGTGCCAGATGCTTCTCAAATGCGGAAATGGAAGTACCGATAATCTTGAGGAGGAACTCATCTCTGAGGAGGCAAACGGTCAATGTGTTAGTTTCATGGATGATTATAAGACTATCGGACAAACGAGGAATGAAGATGTGGTCTCTGCTGTGAACACTGACTCTTCTGATACAGACTCATGTGAAGACAATGAAGATGTTCAACTACTTCCATCTTTTCTGTACAGCGATGAGAAAAAACCGAAAGAGGAAAACAGTAACAACAATTCTGAAGACAATATTTCTCCTCCTGTAGCTGCTGCTGAGATACAAGTAGAAGTCGCTGTACACGAAGATTTCTCTACATGGCAACGTATCATCCGGCTTGATGCATTGCGCGCTGATTCTGAGTGGGCAACTTACTCTTCATCTAAAACTGCAATCACGGAAAGCAAAGCTCGCAGTTTAGCCGAGTTTGTGGGTTTAAAAGACTATGATCACTTAGAAAGCTGTAGGCTTTACCACGCTGCACGGCTCGTTGCAATTCTTGAAGCTTATGCTCTGTATGATCCCGAGATAGGCTACTGCCAAGGAATGAGCGATCTGTTATCTCCCATCATTGCTGTGATCTCAGAGGATCACGAGGCGTTCTGGTGCTTTGTGGGTTTCATGAAGAAAGCTCGGCATAATTTCAGGCTCGACGAAGCAGGGATTCAAAGGCAGCTAAGTATTGTATCAAGGATCATCAAATGCAAAGACTCTCAGCTTTACAAACACTTGGAGAATCTCCAAGCCGAGGATTGTAGTTTCGTTTACAGGATGGTGCTTGTGATGTTTAGGAGGGAGTTGAGCTTTGAACAGACGCTTTGTCTCTGGGAAGTGATGTGGGCTGATCAAGCAGCCATTAGAGCTGGAGTTGGGAAATCGCCATGGAGCAGAATCCGGCAACAAGCGCCACCAACAGATGATCTGTTGCTCTATGCAATCGCGGCATTAGTACTACGTAGGAAACTGATCATACAGAAATACAGTAGTATGGATGAGATTGTGGAAGAGTGTAATAGCATGGCTGGGCAGCTTGATGTCTGGAAGATTCTTGATGATGCGCATCAGCTTGTCGTGACACTCCATGACAAGATCGAAACTCTTTCTTCTCAATCTCTGAGCATTTGATGAAATCTCCAGTCAAAGCCAGAAATGAAGTGTTTCTACTACACAAAGGCCCTTGCACTCGTCTGGCTGCGTTTTGTCAAGGTTTAAAGGTTTGTCACGGTTTCGTTCTTACCGTTTTTACTTGTCCCTCGTTTTTTTCTCTCTCTTTGTTTCCTCATCACACAAACAAAAACACAATACTATCTATCACTTATATTGTAGTGCTAATGAAAAGACAAAACATTGTTCTTGTTGAAAATGTAAGGAATGAGTCTGAAACTGCCTTTTCCACAATTGCATGGATCATAATTATTAAGCTGTAGAAATTCATTTAGAGTATCCGTGACTGAGAAATCAAAACTGAAATTTCTAGCACCAACATAGTTTAAAACATCTCATCATAAAATCAACACTATCAAACTAGCAACAACATTGATTATTGGTTTGTAGTTTTTCAACAAGAATCAGCAAGGAGCCCTTACTAAGGACACAGATGCAGTCTAGGACCAAACACAACAGTAACGGTATTATCCGCAAGAAAGAGAAATACAGAGAGATGAGAAGATAATTCAGTGACAAGCATGCAAGCAAGCCTCAGCTTCTTCTCTACTCTTTCTTGGTATACTGACGGACAACAAGAGCGAGTCCCAAGATCAAGATTGGAACAAGGAACTGCAGAATCTTGATAATGAATTCTGGTGTCTTGTCTTGGTTGTACGCTGGTTGCTGAGGTGCAACGTATGTCCTTGTAGCTGGAACACTAGATGAATCGATTTCACCAATGTAGTATTTCTCCATCATTTCTCTTGCAGTGTCGCTGTGACCAACGTCTTCAAAATCATTCGTAGCATCTTTCCCTGCAGCAACACCACAACCGGAAACAGTCACCGAGCAGTTTTCAAACCGGCATTTGGATCAGAGAGTAACCAAAGTTAATATCAGTAAGATTTTTTCCTCACCTGTTGAGGACAACAAGACTTCGTCGCCTCCAGGATGATCATCCATGAATTGGGTCACATCATACACCTGAAATTCAATGTTAAAGAACCAACCATCAATCATTACTAGACACTAGTCAACCTCACCATGGC